CTGCAGTGTCAGGAGTACAATACAGAAGGCTTCCAGGTCAGGTGGCCCAGTGTCAAATAAAAGCTCCATCCCTTGTTAGCACATCTCTCAACCTTCCTTAGCTGTGCCTGCCTGCCTCTTTCTATAATGGGGAAAATAATAATACCTACTTCCTTGGTTTACTTAAAGAGAGGATTAAATCAGGACATGTGATATGGCACACCATTATTGCTTTTGTTGTTGTTATTATTATTTTAAAATCTAGGTGGGTGATTGCATCTAGAGAAAGCACCACAGACTGAGTCACTTAAATAGCAGAAAAGTATTATCTTGCAGGTCAAGAGACTAGAAGTCTGAAATCAAGGCATCAGCAGGGCTGTGCTCCCACTGAAACCCATAGCAGGGAATCCTTTCTTGCTTCTTGTAAGTTTCCAGTGTTTCCTCGGCTTGTAGATGACACACTCCAGTCACATGTCCCTTTTTCTTTCTTTCTTTTTTCTTTTTTTAAAGCAGAGTCACGCCCTGTTGCCCAAGCTGGAGTGCAGTGGTGCTATCTTGGCTCACTGCAACCTCCACCTCCCGGGTTCAAGAGATTCGCATGCCTCATCCTCCCAAGTAGTTGGGTTACAGGCATGCACCACCACACCTGGCTATTTTTTTTTTTTTTTTTTTTTTTTTTTTTGTATTTTTAGTAGAGATAGGTTTCACCATCTTGGCCAGGCTGGCCTTGAACTCTTGACCTCAAGTGACTCACCAGCCTTCACCTCCCAAAGTGATGGAATTACAGGTGTGAGCCAGCATGCCCGGTAGCACGTGGTCATCTTCTTCCTGTGTCTTTACGTCATCTTCTCTGTGTGCACATCTGTCTCTGTGTCTAACTTTCCTCAATATGACACTAATCATATTGGATTAGGGCCCACCCTAATCACCTGATTTCAATTTGATCACCTCTGGAAAGCTTGTCTTCCTTTCTTTCTTTCTTCCTTTCCCTCCTTCCTTCCCTGCCTTCTTCCCTCCTTCCCTCCTTCCCTCCTTCGCTCCTTCCCTCCTTCCCTCCTTCTCTCCTTCCTTCCTTCCTTCCTTCCTTCCTTCCTTCCTTCCTTCCTTCCTTCCTTCCTTCCTTCTTTCTTTCCTTCCTTCCTTCCTTTGTTCAAGGTGCAATGGCACGATATTGGCTCACTGCAGCCTCAATCTCCTGGGCTCAAGCAATCCTCCCATCTCAGCCTCTCAAGTAGCTGGGACTAGATGCATGTGCCACTGAGATAGGGGCTAAACAGAAGCCTAAGCGCTGCTATCTTATAGAGAAGCCACCTGGGCCCTGGGCAGAGGTGTAGTTCTCAGAACTGTTAATGTACATCAATTCTCAGAAGTGTTAAGGGTAAACATTTCCACTGCTACCCCCTCCCCTTGCAACAAACCGCTGACTTTAGCTTCTGTACAGACAGCTTGCCTTGCACACCCCTGTACCCCGCTGAACAAGGGTGTGGTTTTGCAGCTTAAATGCCTTGCTCCCCCTGAGCTCGGGGCCATGGGTTGAAGGCACATGAGTCCTCTGTGGCCGCCGGCAATAAAGACCCTGCAATTTGGCATACTTTTGTCTTGGTGTTGATTTTCTGTGCTCGATCCAATGCAACACCACCATGCCTGGCTAATTTTTATTTCTTATTTTTTCTAGAGATGGGGTTTCACCATGTTGCCCAGGCTGGTCTTGAACTCCTGGCCTCAAGCAATCCTCCCACCTGAGATTATAAGCATGAGCTACTGTGCTTGGCTAAAGCCTGTATTTCTAAATGAGATCATATTCTGAGGTTCTGGAGTTAGGGTTTGGACACCACTGAACCCGTAACACCAACAGTTCTTTCTCTCAAACATTCTCCAAAGTAAGAAAAGTGTTTTACATTTTGCTATCTAAAGTCTCTTCCCTGCAAGATGTTATGATCAAAGAGTTTGTTGCTTCTCAAGAATGTTTGGATACAAAGAAACTCAAGTTGGTTCTGTTTGTGAGTAACTTGAAAACAAATTCTTTGCTTTGTTTAAAGAGGGAAGCGCTGTTTCAGGCAGGACTCTGTCAAGAACATGTTACAAACTGTCCCATTTCCAGTGAACTCTTCACTGCCTTCCACCCACACGAGCACAAGACAAGGCTCCTGGCCGCTCCTGGCTGCCCTTGCTGGCAGCAGAGCCTCTCACTGGGTCTTGATTTCAAAGGGTCACCAAAATTTATCCTCATGGATTCTGGTCTTCACTAGACAGCAAAGTTCCTGTTTTACTCGTTGAAGTCAAGCAGACCTGGGTTCAGATTCAAGCTCTATCACCAACAGCTAGTTAGTATGCGAATGTCTCAGCCTCGGTTGTCTTATCTGTAACATAAGGGTGAGAACACCTCGTGGGCTGGTGGTGAGATCTGGAGTGCCTGATGCCTGGTAGTCAGTCTGCAAATCATGGTGCTATTATCATGGGAGAATAATGTTTGGGGAAATTTGTGGGACCTTTTCTGTCACTTGTTTGAGGCCTTCTGCACATACCCTTCCAAGGTCAGAACAGTGGGCCTGTACCTCATATCAGCAGAGAAAAAGGTAAAATGTGAATGTGGCCTTTGGGTCTTAAATACACAGAAATGTCAAAGGAGGAGGTATTGACTTTGCTGTCAAAGGAAGAGGTATTGTCTCTGGCCATCTATCCGCCTTCCTGATCTGAAATAGCAACACTTTACTGTGCACAAATGAGATCAATGCAAAAGAGAAGCAACTTTCCTTTGGGAGAGAACGTTAAGTTTAGGGCTTGGGGTGCAAAGGTAGGAGTGGATCTGGAGACGACCCTGGTGTCAGGCCGGAGGTGGTGGGGCCAGGGGGACACTGAGGTGTTGGGCAGGCATGAGGTGGAGGAGACAGCCTCCGTGAAGGAAGCAGGGCAAACATGAACAGAGGATGGAGGAGATGCTGAAGATAGGGCTGTCTCCTGCCTCTTAGAATTCTGCCAGGCTCGCCCTGCTGGGTAGACTTCATTTTAAATTTTATTGTTAAATTTTTTTTTGAGATGGAGTCTCGCTCTGTCGCCCAGGCTGGAGTGCAGTGTCGTGATCTTGGGCTCATTGCAACCTCCGCCTTCAAAGTTCAAGCGATTCCCCCTCCTCCTGAATACCTGGGATTACCAGTGCCAGCTACCATGCCTGGATAATTTTTGTATTTTTAGTAGTGATGGGGCTGGCCAGGCTGGTCTCGAACTCCCGACCTTGTGATCTGCCTGCCTCAGCCTCCCAAAGTGCTGGGATTACAGATGTGAGCCACTGTGCCCAGCCCTTCATTTTAAACTTTGAATTCCTTCCCTAATTATGATTCCTCTACTCTGGCAGGAAGCTCCTCTCCAAGTGCCAGCTTCTTCAACACAAAGATGCTTAAAACCCAAAGCCTCCCTCATAAACTGACTGGAACACGTAAGCAATAGATCAAGAGCAACTATAAAAGTCTTGAATGTGTTCCTCAAGGGACATATTAAGAAACCTTTGAGGTGCATTCCCTCTTGCCTGGAGCTTTGAAAGGGGCAGTCTGTAATCCTGGAAAGGACTCAGGCAGGTCTGTGGGAGCCAAATTGCATCAGCTCTACTTTCAATAGCGTTATCTTTTGCTCTTTGTGATTGTAGCTGAATTAGTCGAGTTGTAGTAACAAAGGTGTAAGTGCCGAATTGTGTGTGAGTATGCTCCACACCCCCAAAGACAATATCCAGATGTCCTTTATATCCCAAATCCATTATTAGCTTCTGAAGCTTTCCAACTTTTTGATACAATGATTGTCACCCAATAACATAATGCATTAACAATGAGTTTTCTAGACAAATTATGAATCCAGGTCATTTCTTTTCTCCAAGCCTGGTTTATCATGTGAAAGAAGGTTGTAGGAGCAACAGCTAAGGCTTCTGATTGTGATCAAATCCTACATCTTGAGAAGCAATGGCCCCAGGTGTCTGTGGTGGGGATTAACACAGAGCAGTGTGCAGCCAGCTGTAGTAAGCAGTGAAAGTGGCTAAAATGTGCATCAAGTACTCCCTCAAAGGGGAAGAATCCATCCAGACACTGTTTTCGTTCAGCAAACACGTATTGAGCACCCAGAGAATGCATGAAGGAACAGTGAAGAAAAGACTCAGTTCTGAAAGTGCTCCCAAGGCAAGGCAGGTGGAGGCAGACCACAAGACCCCTTGGAAGGATGAGTACTGAGAGATTTTTCCAGGTGAGAGGATTGCAATCTATGCCCTTTGATTTAAAAAACCCTGCCTAGTTTCTCCATAGGTATCCTGCATTTGTTAGGCTATGTGCCCCTATTTTGGGCTCAAAAATTTTGATCAGGGTGAACATGGGGTTAGATAATCATGAAAATGCACCCTATCTATACCTCCCTCATGCCCCTGACATCAGGGGGACACGCCGTGGCTTTGGTGGCCCACTTTGTCTTGATGGTGACTTTGGTGCTGGGTTAATAGCGCATGTCATTCGTGTGTGTGTGTATGAGTGAGGGAGTCTTTAAAATACCAGCCCTTTCCAGTCTTTCCCTGAGTTTGGGAGCGGGTGGGTAGAGACTACACCAAGGCGCTTTAGGGCCAGCGCTGCCCATGGCTCTTTTTAAAACCTGTTTTTCTAGATCATGTAATGAATCTAAATACCGGTCCGTGATAAAGGAAAAAGGGGTTATTATCTCTCATATTTCACATACAGGAATATTAAACAATTAAAAGCTTAACTAATGTTCCCAAGGTCATATGGTGAATTAGAAACAGAGACAGAGAAAGGATTCTGGTTTCTAGTCCTTCTAGTTTTGTTGCCTCAGCTACGGATCTTGCTGCCTCTTTAAATCCCACATTTAGCTAGAATTGGGAGCCATAGCTGTGAATTGGCTCCATCACTTGAAAAAAAAAAAAAAAAAAAAAGGTGGGGGAATACTTGCTTTCCTATAAGGCAAAACTATAACTCTGAGCAAGGCCTAAGAGACTGTCAAATTTTCAGCACATGTGAATATCCTTGTTCTTTCAGCGATTGGTATTCTGCAGCAGCTGCCTCACAGAGCCTGGAGAGCTCCAGCAAGGATGGGCCGGAACTCCAGCTGCTGGTGAGCAAGTGTTCACTATTTATAGCGGGTGGGGGGCTGCGAAGGAATGGAATTTTTTCCTTCTGAGTAGGATTGATGCAACCAACAGGAAGTGGGCTCTGATGGATACTAAAGGAGATCACGTGGATATATATAGCCTGTTACAGTACCTCTCATATTCCAGCGTGCTTCAGAATCACCTGGGGGTGCTTGCTGAAAGACAGATGGTGGGGCCCCACCCCCAGAGTTCCTGATTCACTGTGTATCTTAGTGGGTTTGGGCTACTAAAACAAAGTACCACAGACCAGGTGGCTTAAACGACAAACATTTATTTCGCACAGTTCGGGAGGTTGAGATGTCCAAGATCAAGATGCTGGCAGATTTGGTGTTTGGCGAGGGCCTGTTTTTGGTTTATAGACAATGCCTTCCTCACTACGTTCTCACATGGCAGAAGGGGTGTGGGAGCTCCCTAGGGCTCCTTTTACAAGGGCACTGATCCTATTCACGAGAAATCTGTCCTCATGACCCAATAACCTTGAAAAGGCCCCACCTCCTAGTACCACCATCAGCTTAAGGAGATGAACAGGGTGAACATGGGGTAAGATAATCATGAAAATTATCTTTGTGGGAGATACAGACATTCAGTCCAATACAGTAGTGAATGGCCCCAAAATGTGCTGATGTTGCTTGTTCAGAGACCATACTTTAAGAACTGCTTCTCTTTTTTTTCTTTTGAGACAGGATCTCACTCTGTCACGCAGGCTGGAGTGCAGTGGGGCAATCTTGGCTCATTGCCACCTCTGCCTCCTGAATTCAAGCGATTCTCCTATCTCAGTCTTTTGAGTAGCTGGGATTACAGGCACGTGCCACCGTGCCTGGCTAATTTTTTTGTATTTTTAGTAGAGATGAGGTTTCTCTATGTTGGTCAGGCTGGTCTCAAACTCCTGACCTCAGGTGATCTGCCCGCCTCAGCCTCCCAAAGTGCTGGAATTACAGGTATGAGCCACCTCGCCTGGTCCACTGCTCTATTTTAACAAGTGGATTGTACGGGGAAGAGTCGTTGTATATAGCAGCAGATTGAACCAAAAAAATGCATTGACATGCACTAAAAGACTCTGGTGATCTTACTGACTGTCAAATCAAAATCAGTTGTTTCTGGGCCAGCATTTCCAGGGCAAAGGCCTCATTTTACAAATAAAGAAAACTTCACAAAATGTAAAGGTTAGGACTCATAAGGAATATATATCCACATAATTTAATAAAAACTATTTTTGTTTCTCTTTCTTCTTGCTCCAGTGAAAAATGCAGTTAATTTGGTCATTTGATGACATTATAGTGTTTGGAGTCAAGGCTGGCAAACTTGACCTCCTCTTTCAACTCTGAGCAGAGTCTAGCATGGGTCTGGGAGCTAATGAGGCTGCCTCAGTCGTTGATTAAGAGCCAGGGGAAAGCGAATGGGTGCGCCCTGGAAAAATGTGGCTTATCTGCTGAGTAGACCAAGACCTTAGCTTTGACTTCTGTTTCTTGCATGAGATTGGCCTGTTCAGAAAAACCTTTAGTTCAGGTTTTTCTTTTAGATTGAATTTTGATATTTTACATTTTCCTCAAAAATTGTCCATTTCACTCTGATTTTTAAACTATAGTTGTACAAATAATTCTTTTATAAGAATTATAGTTTCCTTTATATAGGTTAATCTATTTGTATTTCCCCCTATTTTTTTAAATTAGACTATAACCAGCCAATGGTTTCACTTTGCCCACTGCCTAGACAGAGTCTATTTATCAAGATAGGGGAATTGCAATAGAGAAAGAGTGATTAACACAGAACTGGCTGTGTGGGAGAGCAGAGTTTTAATTTTACTTTATTTTTTGAGATGGAGTCTTGCTCTATTGCCAGGCTGGAGTGCAGTGGTCTGATCTCGGCTCACTGCAACTTCTGCCTCTTGGTTCAAGCAATTCCCCTGTCTCAGCCTCCGGAGTAGCTGGGACTACAGGCGCCCACCACCACACCTGGCTAACTTTTTGTATTTTAGTAGAGATGGGATTTCACCATGTTGGCCAGGATGGTCTTGATCTCCTGACCTCGTGATCTGCCTGCCTCGGCCTCCCAAAGTGCTGGGATTACAGGCATGAGCCACCATGCCCAGCCAGAGTTGTTTTATTATTACTCAAATCAGTCTCCCTGAGCATTCAAAGATCAGAGTTTTAAAGGAAAATTTGGTGGTTGGGGAGTGGGGAGTCAGGTCAGAGATGAAATCATAGGGAGTTGAAGCTGTTTTCTTGGGCTGTTCAAGACCAGCTAATGGATTATTTATTATTGTTGCTGGTTGTTTTTTTCACCTCAGTCAACCAGCTCTTGGATTTCTTTATCCATATGAAGAACTGCAGAGGACCCCAGATTTTTTTTTCTCCTTCTTGCAAGCTAACAAGTTAGTCTGCCAGTGGTCCCCTAGGTGAGAGGTTTGTGCCAGTTCCCTAACCCCAGTTCCACCTACCACCACAAAAGTCTCATGATGTCTGCACACATAGTAGGGTACAGGAGAGGAATTTAAGTCCTAAATTTAGGGAACCGGAATCTTTTATACTAGACAGTAAGCTGGGTGCTTGGTTCTGGGTAAAGACACTCTCTTTGTCTTGCAAAGCTGATTGTTTGCTATACAAACCTCCCTGAAAACATAGTCCACAAGAAAGGCAGCCAGTGCCCCTGCCTCTGCCTCTGTCCTGAGGTATGCAGGAACCAAGAGATGCTGGAGAACTGTCTCCCAACAATCAATCCCACTGATTTTTTCTCTCTTTCTTCCTTTCTCTTTCTTTCCTTTCTACTTCCTTCCTTCCTTCCTTCCTTTCTTTTTCTTTCTGGATCTCATTCTGTTGCTCAGCCTGAGTGTGGCGCAATCCTAGCTCACTGCAGCCTTGAACTCCTGGGCTTCAGTGATCCTCCTGCCTCAGCCTCTTGAGTAGCTAGGGCTATGGGCACATGCCACCAAGCCTGGCTAATTTTTAAAATTTTTCTGTAGAGATAGGGGTCTTACCATGTTGCCTAAGGCTGGTCTTGAACACTGTTTTCAAACCAATTATATTCTTTCATTTTTAGTTTCTTCCTTCTTTCCTTATATTTTAAAAAATATTTTTCTGTTTTCTTGAGTTGAATAATTACTTCCTTCACCTTCATTGTACTTAAGCTAAAATGATTTTAAGGTTGTGACTTTTTCTTTGACCGAATATTTGACTACATCTCGTAAGGTTTAATAAGTAGTGTTTTCCTTATGATTATTTGCTAAATTATCTAGCTTTTCCCTGTTATTTATGGAAGTCAAAGGTTTTATTTATTTATTTATTTAGACAGAGTCGCTCTCTGTCACCGAGGCTAGAGTGCAATGGCATGATCTCAGCTCATTGCAACCACTGTCTCTGAGTTCAAGCGATTCTTGTGTTTCAGCCTCCTGAGTAACTGGGATCATGGGTGTGTGCTACTATGCCCAGCTAATTTTTGTATTTTTAGCAGAGATGGGGTTTCACCATGTTGGCCAGGCTGGTCTTGAACTCCTGACCTCAATTGATCTGCTTGCCTCAGCCTCCCAGAGTGCTGGGATTACAGGTGTGAACCACTGAGGCTGGGCAGCAGTTAAGGGTTTTAAACAAAATTAATCAATCATCTTTAGATTCCCTTGCTCTCTTGGTTTGCTCTGGAAGCTACTTTCATTTCCTAAGAGGTTTGTAGATTAAAGCTATAAAGCCCTCCAACAGGATCTCTGTGACTTTTGTGTTTAATTGTGCTTCACTGCAATTTAGGAGGAAATGAAATTTGGAAGATAAAAGTTCAAGTCCTGACTCTGCCACTTTGGGCTGGTAACCAAATACATAACCCACTTTGAGTCTCACTTTTGTTTACAAATGTAGGCTTGAACTTTGTTATCTCTGAAGTCCTTTTCAATTTATGACGCTAAGAGATTTTGAATGAATTTCAATTAAACTGGTTTAATGATTTCTAGGCTGACTTGTTAGTTGAGGCAGCATGGCGTAGAAACCGGTGAAGCTGGGTTCAATCCATGCTGTGAGTGAGCAAATGCTTCCATTTCCTCATGTTTTCTTCTGTGACTCTCACAGAGGAGAGAAAAATCTACATGGCATTAGGGGCTCATTTCCTCCCCTTCGGTGGCATCTTGCCTGGGTTAGCTATAGGGACAAAGAAGCTGATGGCAGAGACTGAGCTCTGCAGCCTATCCTTTCTACGAAGGCTGCTTCCTGGCTTGAGAAGCTCTAGCACTACAGTGTTAGCTAGATGTTCATCTGAGTATTAGTCAGTTCTCACGCTGCTAATAAAGACATATCCTAGACCAGGTAATTTATAAAGGAAAGAGGTGTAATTGATTCACAGTTCCACATGGCTGGGGAGACCTCACAATCATGGCAGAAGGTGAATGAAGGAAAGTCATGTCTTACATGGTGGCAGGCAAGAGAGCTTGTGCGGGGGAACTCCCCTCTATACAACCATCAGATCTTGTGAGACTCACTACCACGAGAACAATATGGGGGAAACCACCCCCATGATTCAGTAATCTCCACCTGGCCTCACCCGTGACACATGAAGTTATTACAATTCAGGGTGATTTGGGTGGGGACACAGCTAAACCATATCATCCTGCTTTCTTCTCTTTCTGTGTGTCCTGCCCGTCTTGTAACAGCCCAGGGGGTTCACTTTGCCTGCTGCCCAGACAGAGCCAGTTTATCAAGATGGGAATTGCAATGGAGAAAGAGTAATTCATGAAGAGCCAGCTGTGCAGGAGACTGGAGTTTTATTATTATTCAAACCATTCTCCCTAAGCATTTCAGGATCAGAGTTTTTAAAGACAATTTGGCAGGTAGGGCCTTGGGAATGGGGAGTGCTGATTGGTCAGGTTGAAGATGGAATCATAGCAGGGTTGAAGTCAAGTTTTCTTGTGTCTTCTGTTCCTGGGTGGGATCACAGAAATGGTTGAGACAGATGACCAGTCTGGGTGGTGTCAGCTGATCCATCCAGT